ATATATCAGCCTGCTCTGAGCCTGACCAGGGGCTGCACTTAGGGATTGGGCCTGCCCTCTGCCACCCGGGAGCAGGCCTAAGCCAGCAGGTCGTTATCTCCTGAGGGGTCCCAGACTGTGAGAGGGCACAGGCCCGGGCTGGGGGACCCCCCCCCCCCCCACCGAGTGCACAAATTTTTGTGCACCGGGCCTCTAGTATTAAAATAAAATAACAGTAAAAAGTATAGTATAGTAAATACATAAACCACTGACAGAGTTGTTTATTATTAAGTATTGTCTGTGCTATACTTTTTTGGGGGGCGGGGGGGTGGTCAGGGGAGAGTGCAACCGTGGTCTCCCACTACCACATATTATGCAGAGGAGTTTCCCACATTTGGGGAAACCCAGGGATCAGCACATCCCACATGCAATGGGTAAGCCTCGCTCTGGGAAAACCGCCTTTGTGATCATGGTATCTCCTCTGCCGGGGAAGTATCTCTGTGCTATACTTTTATACCACTGGCAGGCAGCACAGTAGGTTTATTTACACAGCATCACCACAAACATGTGAGTAATGCATTGCACTATGACATCATGATGGCTGTGATGTCACTAGGTGCTAGAAAATTTTCAGCTGGGTTCATGAATAGAAAATTTAATATTGTTCATTCTGACCTTTTTGTTATGAATATAACACATGTATAAAAGTGCATAAAAGGTAAATGTACAGTTTAATGAAATATTATAAAGCAAACTACCATTTAGTCACCATTTAAATCGAACACTAGAAATTGCCAACATTCCAGAAACCCCACCATCTTGCACACCCTGCCCTATCACAATGCTCTTTGTCTCTTCTAGAGGGAGCCACTAACCTCACTTTCTTTCTCTATAGTTTTGGCACATAATTGTGCACACTTTCCTTACTTATCTTTTACATAGTTTTAGCACTTAGGCATCTCCAAAAAATACAGTCTGGTTTTTTACTGTGTATAAACAGAATAAGATATTATATACTAGAGGCCTGGTGCATGAAATTTATGCACTGAGGGGGAGAGGGTCCCTCAGCCCGGCCTGCACCTTCTCACAGTCCAGGAACCCTCGCTCCTTACTGCCCGCCTGCTCACTGCTCCTTACAACTTAGCTCAGTGATGGCGAACCTATGACATGTGTGTCAGAGGTGACATGCGAACTCATTTTTTTCGTTGATTTTTCTTTGTTAAATGGCATTTAAATATATAAAATAAATATCAAAAATATAAGTCTTTGTTTTACTATGGTTGCAAATATCAAAAAATTTCTATATGTGACACGGCACCAGAGTTAAGTTAGGGTTTTTCAAAATGCTGGCAAGCCGAGCTCAAAAGGTTCGCTGTCACTGGCTTAGCTCATTGCTCCTTAGCGCTGTCTCGGAGGCGGGAGAGGCTCCTGCCATCACTGCTGTGCTTGCCAGCTGTGAGCCCAGCTTCTGGCTAAGCAGCGCTCCCCCGTGGAAGCACACTAACCACCAGGGGGCAGCTCCTGCATTGAGCATCTGCCCCCTGGTGGTCAGTGCGCATCATAGTGGCTGGTGGTTCTGCCATTTGGTCGATTTGCATATTAGGCTTTTATTATATAGTATTATATAGGATTATTTTATGTTTGATTTATCTTGTTCAACATTATGTTTTTTTAAGATTCAGCCAAGTTCTTCTGTATACCTATTGTTTGTTCATTGTTTTTTTTTCCTCTATAATATTCCACTGTACCACCATTTAGTTATTGATTTTACTATTGATGGATATTGGGTATTTCCAGATTGGAGCTATGAACAAATATGTTGCTAACATCATTCTTGCCCCTTTGCTAAGGCACGCATTTCTCTAGGGCAGTAGTTCTTAAAGTCTGGTCCCCAAAGGCAGCATCAGCACTGCCTGGGAACTTGCTAGAAAGGCACACCTTTGGGCTCTACCTCCACCCTACAGAATCAGAAACTCTGGGGGTGGGGCCTGGCCACCTGTGCTTTAACAACTTCTCCCTTCGATTGTAAAGCACACCAAACTTGAGGCCCACTGCTCTAGAGATATCTATGGCAGCGGTTCTCAACCTGTGGGTCGCGACCCCTTTGGGGGTCGAACAACCTTTTCACAGGGGTCTCCTAAGACCATCGGGAAACACATATATAATTACATATTGTTTTTGTGATTAATCACTATGCTTTAATTATGTTCAACTTGTAACAATGAAAATACATCCTGCATATCAGATATTTACATTAAGATTCATAACAGTAGCAAAATTACAGTTATGAAGTAGCAACGAAAATAATTTTATGGTTGGGGGTCACCACAACATGAGGAACTGTATTAAAGGGTTGCGGCATTAGGAAGGTTGAGAACCACTGATCTATGGTAATCTAGGCTTGGAACTAATTAGCTAAGAGGGTCAAAATGCATATGCAAATTTCTCCAAACTGGGCAACGAGTTTAGATTCTCTTGGAGGAGTATGAAAGATCCCACTGCCTCCCCCTTCCTCACCAAAGCCAGTGGAAGGGGTCTGTCACAGTTTCCCAGTGTATCTACAAATGCATTTCACCAACTACTTATATTTCAACCCTTTCCTACATTTATTGTGCACTTAGGTTTCTTCTTGTGTGGAGTGGCTTTTCTATTCTTGGCCCCAATTTTTTATTCTGGGTTCAAGCCCTTGGTTGCCCAGAGGTTCTTATTTCTAGGGTTGGCAGATGGCCTCAAGGCAAAGACAGCTTCCATGCTGGCTGTCTCCAAGTTTTCCCCTTCATTTTTGGCCTTGTTATTCTTTATTGTCTTTTACAATTTTTAAGAATATTCATCCATTTTAAATATTTTAAAAATATTTACTATATAGGTTGTTTTCATAGGCAGCTTGATCAGAAGAAGTCTATTCCATTCCTGGAGAAGGTTCACCTGTGAGTTGACAGGGGGATGGGGTGGCACTCGTTTTAAGAAGTGTGAGAGTAGAGTCATATCAGAATCGGCACAGCTTTCCATCCCGGGAACTA